AAGCTAGAAGACAACTCCTGAATTTTCTTTTTTTCTTTTTTGAATAAAAGCAATTTTCAAATGCAAGATTTTCCAACAAATTTGTCGGATCAAATTTGCAAATTTTTATAAAACTCAATTTGAGACTGAGGCCGAATTTATTTAACTATGTAAAGACTGAAGTCATATGATATCATTATTATCCTCTGCATCAAGGTTTACGTCCTTAAGAAACCTCGTTAGCCTTGGGCGCAATTGTTTCTAAACGATATCAAAACAGGGATGTCAAACAATTATATAATCTTCCGGGGGATTATGTCTTTTTCTAGAATAGATCCATACGATCTCTCCAAGTAAATTGATCGCTTGTTACTTGTGATGTACTTAGCTTGCAAACATTCGGGAGAGGGTTTGAAAACGGTGATCTAGACAATAAGTGTCACAACATGAGACAAAAACTGACAGCACATGTCATTTCGGAGTGTTTAAATTGCGAGTGGCGGTCGAATGAATTCGTACCATTGAATTCGGCAATAATTAAGCAGCGACAAAAGTGGGTAAAATTTCTTTTCATTCAAGCATCCTTTGACTGCATTGAAAGTTTATGAGTTCGCTTCAATTTTGACTTAATGATTTTATTGTTATGGTGGCAGAGTAAAGGAGAACTGATTAAGTTTTCCAGCCAGCTATGACTAAGATCTTCAGTGTATTTGTGGAGCTGAATTTAATTTTTTTTACTGTTAGCTGACTAAGGATAAAATGTAAGTAGAAGAAGTGGTCATGAAGAATTTTTTTAGTTTGAGTTCAAATGAAAACGATAAAATCATTTTCCTATCATAGTCCTCGTTAAAACATCGAGGACTGTGATCTGCCATATGATTAGAGAGGTTTCTTTAGACTCAGCTTCGGTCTTCTGAGGAAATACTGTAATAACTACTCATAAAATTTTGTAACTTACAGTTTTAATAATTTTTTTTTCATTTTAGTAGTTTAGTTTTTTGAAGAGTTTGCGTCGTGTCTTTTTTTTAAGATTGCAGTGAGCTGTAATTTGGAAAAGCTGATCTATTCGCCAGTTGGGTCTTTTTGAGAACAACTCCAAATTATGCCTCATGGAGATATTCCCTGAGATAAAGTGAAAAAACACAAAATATTAGCCTTTACATATGGAACAATTAGCGGGCCAACAGGGGAACAGGTAAGCGCGTAGACAAGAAAATGACTGAATCACCTCAATAGCATAAGCAAGCCTACAATGGTACAATTTATTTAGGTGCGAAGCAGTACAATTGACCTTTACCCAAGAGGAAATTGGATGCTTTGTTCCGAAACAGACGAATAAGTATAATAAAAATAATAATGAAAGCTGCTTATGAAAACAAAGCAAAGAATTCAGGATATATTTTAATTTTTTTTTCTGCAGCTGAATCCATAAAAGCCCAGTTTGTGTAATTAAAGTAACAGTGCATTAGGCTGATCATTACGAAAACAGTCATCTTGTCTAGAAGAAAAAATAACTGAAATGTAAATCGTCAATCATTTAACGAAGGAGGAAATAGGATATTCAATATTTCAAGGATAAATGAAAGGATATCACCTACCGTCGCCATATATCGCTGTATAACCAAGGACATAGGAGTAATCGCCAAAATTGCTGATGTAATTTCTTTCTTTTCTTTTTAAATCCTGATCTTCTTTGAATAGATAAACACAGCTCAAGATGAACAACAACATGAATAACACAACGTATGGTGAAGAGGGAGCTTTGTCATGTGGCTATCCGAGCGTTTCTCTCTTACAGCAAACAATCAGAGCAGGAAGTGTTCTTCTAGTGTTGATTTGCTCACTTGTGGGAAACATTTTTGTTCTGCGCGTCGTCAGGAAAAACATCAAGTTGCACTCTGTGACCCATTACCTCATTGTTAACTTAGCAGTCGCGGATCTTTTGATAACAGTCTTTAACATGACTGAGTTGTTTAAAATCGAAGTGACTGGAAGTGAACAAACGTTCGGTGGCGTTGCTGGTGAGGTTTACTGCATCGGAAGCATTGTCATATTTAACCTTTCCGTTGCCTGCTCCATTCTCTCTTTGTCGGCGATTTCAATTGAGAGATTTTGCTCGATCATATTTCCGTTCAAAAGAATCATTACACTCCCACGTGCAAAAGGGATGTTGGTAACCATCTGGGTTTTCTCCTTTCTCATCACAATCCCTTTTTTCTTCAATATGAAAACTGAAGACTATTACGGTGATGGAGTGTTCTACTGCATCGAGGACTGGTCCCCTCTTGATTCAGAAAAAGCTGCCCAAGTGTTTCAGGTTATATTCTTCCTATTGATGTACGCATGCCCACTCACTGTCATCTTAGTACTGTACTTAATTATTGGAGTTAATTTGTGGAGGCGCCAAGTGAGTGTGAAAGCCTCTTTAGGAAATTCTCAGAGGCGAACACGCATGACAGTACAAGTAATCAAAATGCTTGTCACCAGTGTCGTGGCCTTTGCATTATGTTGGCTTCCCCAACACGTTGCACTGTTCATTGGTTATTTCAGGCTAGACATATGTCCCCCTGAGTTTTTATGGTTTGGAGGACAAATACTTGGGTATGCAAACAGCATGATGAACCCAATCATCTACATTGCTTTTCATTCAGAGTATAGAAAGGAGTTCAAAGTTGTCCTTGCGAGGTTTTTCCCTATTTGTCGTGGACATCGTAAAGGTGCAACAACTATAAACCTACAGAAACAGAACAACCCTGTAGAGCTGGGCATGGTTAGTGTTTTATCGTTTAAAGTGAGGCTTAGTGATGGACTCCGATCTGAATTTAGCGATGTTAACTCTAACAGTCCCTTCAAAGGGAGCAGAGAAAATCAAGCTTTGAATAGAATTGAGTAAATTTGTGATAACAATCATCAACGGAGTGGAAGAAATAAAAATTGTAATCAGTTAAAAGAAAGTGCCCCATATAACTTGATCTTAGTTATTGGATGTGATTCCCCGAAGTGGATTCGAAGTAAGGGACAGATGCTTGGGTGAAGAATCTGCAAGTGTAAGATAGCATGGAAATTCAACTTTCAATGTATAAAATAAGCTCTAGTCAAATACAAGAAACTCAACCAAATCATATCGGACTTAAATACAGCCTTTTGGAATAATGGGATTTGAATACAACACGTTCAGAATTGTATCTTCAATGTCCAAATGCAAATCAAACGGAAAAATGGGCGGCTTGAGTCATGAATCCGTACATTGCTCTCAAATAGAAAGAGCTGAATTTTAAAAGGTTCCAAACCATTAAGTAACACCGAAAACTTCAACCTCAGGTCGATGCAAGGAACTTTCATTCTGCTTGAATATTACTAAGTGAAGTGTGGTTTATAGATGTGGAAGACCATAATACAGGGAAAACGGGATAAAAGGTGTTCTTATACCTAAAATTGTCTCAATATCTCCCTATCTTCACTTTCCTTCTTTGAAGGACATTTCCAGCCAGTCTTTATTATAAGGCATGCTGTAATTTGTAGAAATTTACGGTTGTGCATTAGCCAGGTTTATTTGTAAATAGAGTTTTCAAGTGGCACTTGACCACTTTTGATCTGATAATCTCAGCAAATGTAAGCTTATCTACAACGTTTTATTGGGACTGTTAGTCATTCATAGATACCTTTGGTATCCTTGAAATATGATTTAGATGTTCAGAATAGAAGCTGTATATATGGGGAACGAATCAAGTGAGTTTGTGCAAATTGCACATATGAAACAGATGGTAGGCGATCTTTTTCCGTAAAGAGGGACCGTTCATAATTTATCGCCTTGGGAGGGAGGGATGGGGACGGGGTGTTATCCCTGGTAAATAATGACTAGTCCCTTAGTATTAACCTTTGCGATTGAATTCCAATCAACAATTGCTCGTTAAATCGGGGTGAATAAGGTTTGCTGTGTAAATGCTTAATACTGCTAAATCTAAAACAGTGTTGCCAGTACGTTCTCTTAGGCTTTGGGAGATAATTATTTCATTGTTCAGTATATAAATCTAACAAGTCAATAAACATCAATGAAATTTGGGATTTGCATGATTTTTTTTATGGAGGTGGTAGTTTTGTGGTTAGCAGGCACTTTTGAACGGCCTGAGTTGAAGTTCAGGCAGGTTCATTAAGTTGTAATACTGAAAAGCGTACTAAATCAGTGCGTAAAAGCATGAAATGGCGTCTCTTCCGAGAGCAATTAACATCCTCCTGGTCTCCTGACGCTGTAAAACGCTCTGGGAACCAAGGTCACGGGTTAAACAATACGTTGATTGATTGATTATTATTGAAAGAGCCTGTACCTTGAACAATAAGGAGGTTCAGGATGTCTTATTTTCTTTAGAAACAGGCCTGAAATTACATGCCTGAAATTTGATACAGCGTTTTCAATTCATTAGTTACAATCGACTTACGTCGCGAGCGGGTGTTTACTCCAGTTCACACAAGTGACGCCATAAACGCTCTCGCCAAATTTCTCCCTATGAAAGAACATTTTAACAATTAAGAAATATGATGAATTTTACTAACTAGATCTAACACTGCACATTTTCTGAATGAGCATGTTTCGTTTTTAATGTTCTCTTGCGAGGGTCTCAGTGCGATGTGAGCTCAAAAACTTTGAAATCTACTCCTTACAACTAACATTATATAAAAAAAACTACATAATTTGTGTGTTGAAAGTGTGTTGTGTGTTAAAGTGTTGGACAACGCCAGTCAAAATATTTACAAAAATTGAGATTTTCCTTGAAAGAACATTCATAATTAGCTGATATTCGAAAAAAATTCTAGTCGGTGATGTTTAAAAAGTCTTTTCTTAATCATAACATTCGAAAAAAAGTTATTTTGCCTTTGAAAAAGGTAGTATTTTGAGTTTTTTTCGTAAAACCAATCTGATATCATTTCGCTTTCAAATGTAAATAACCTTTCAGAGTTCTACTGTCTAACAACCAAATATTAATAAGAAAAGGCTCTTCTCAAGATAATCATCTGCAATGTAAACTAAGGACCCTGGCATGTTAACCGCTTAAATATCCACATGTTTATTTGATAAAGGAAAGCTATGGAAACTCCAGAAGCCAGTAATGTTGAATTGCCTGACGGTTTTTAGCGGAGCTGACAGAGAACTAGTAAAATAGGCAACCTTGCATCAAATGACAGTATTGTTCTGATTGGGTATAAATACAAGACGTTTTTTTAGGGGAAGCAATGGAGTGAACTTGGCGAGACACGGATGCTGTCACTTTGTAACAAGCAGTGTAAGACAAATTAAAGACCGCCTGAGGATACTCAAGCATAGAGACATTGTGGAAGTCAGAGAACTGATAACCGGCCCAATTTATCATTACATAAAAAATAAACGGCGCCGAAGATATTCGTTTCAATTTTCTGACTTATGTGAAATGATGACCGATTGGAAGAGGCGACTAAGTAATGCCAGACCAGATGAGTATCGAATGTCAAAAAATGGAAAAAAAAAACAAAAAAATAGTGGTCCTAAAAAACAAGTATCCGAATATTTTGGATGAAAAATGTAAGAGCGATTTCTTCTCTATTTAATACGAACGCCGACTGCACTGAAGACAGAAAAGCCAATCTCGGGGAACAGGGAAACCGAATATTTACTGCCCCCTCACTAAGTTAGACAGGTAGGACTGCCTTAATTATTTTTGCATCTGGTCGCTTTATGGCTAGCTAATTTAGTGAATAAACAGAGGAGAATCGTGTTTATAATGTCGGCGTTTTTGTTTTAATTACTACTTATGTACACCAGCTATTTACATCAGCTGAAACACCTCTGAAATTTTAAATTACGAAATAAGCGGTGTAGTGTTTCATTACCAGGGAAAGAAACATTCTGCAAGTATATCAAGGCGGGGAATTGGCGGTGCAGTTTTACTTGGCCTATTATGTCTTAGTTATTCACAAAGTAGCTAGGGTCACAGGTGAGGCGGATAATAATTTTGTTTCAATCGAGAGTGATAACAGAACCCTTTGTTGGCAATGGTAGTTTTAGGAAACAACTCAATAGAATTTAAAGAACTGACCCCGTCGATAAGAATGAATTGCCTTTGAGGATTTAGTTTGGGATCGAGTTCTTAACATATCCTTGTACTTGAATGTCTAACAAATGGCGTCCCATTTCAAGTAGTTTCTTGCCACCTCTCCCAATTTTGTCACTTTGAGTCAATGCAATTGATGCATTTCGAAATCCATTGTTAAGGACACCGTGATTATCATTTTCAATCAGTAAACATGACCACAGAATTTGATTTTCGCCACAATTTTCTTTTCCTTCAAAAATCGTTCTTAGTCGTACATTGTTCTTTTCTCCTTTACCATTCTGGCTCTACTCTTAACGCAGAGTATCCTGTGTTTCTCTCTATTTTTCTGATCGGCCCAGTTTGCTTTATTCTAGAGCGAAAGAAATTTAAAAATGCTTTAAGACTACGGATATCAAATTTTAACGTTTAATTTTCGTCCTTTGAATCTGATATGTGTTGTCTAGCAACATTTGTCAAACAAATGTGCCCCTTAGCGGTTGTTATTACTTCAGCTGAAACGAAACCGCCTGACAATTGAATAATAACAATTTTTGACGTTTCTGTCCGAACTGTTCGAAGTCACTGAATTTTTTCTCGGTTGATTTCGGAACTGGTAAATCTGAAACTCAATTCTTTTGATTTCGACGTCGATATTTTCTTAGAAAAATAAATTAAAAGTTAGCAATCAGCAGAGTTAAGCAGGGCGAAATAGTCAGAATTTTCATCACCAAAAGCGAATATAATTTTCTCAAGTTAAAGCGGCCGTATCACCTGCCCAATTCCAATAAATTTTTAAACTAATGAACTGTTCTTATTTTGCTGCTATATACTACTATAATTTTCAAAATACATAGATTTGTTTCAATAAACTCCAAAACGCGACCAGGCGTAATTTAAAATTCGCTTTATTAGGATTTCATGAGTCACGTTTTAAAAGTTCGCTGTTGGTGCAAACTTAGTAGGAGATAAGTGGGTAAGCCTCGGTATCAAAACAAACAATGAAGCCACTTTGATTTTCACCCCACGGACAGATAAAGAATATTTAACATCTTTAACCTTTTTATTTCCTCCTTTAACTGAATATATGCATGTGACTGTATTCTATCGATTTGAGCCGACATCATAACCAGGCACGTTTGGTGTGGTGAATAAAATGAATGTGCAAAATGATAAATTTATGCACAGTTAATGATATGATTCTGGAAGTTTTTGATTATTCCGTTTTTATAGCGATTTGGTGCATTGTAATACTTATAACTTTCTCAGAGAACTGTCCAAGAGCATGTTTCTTCGTCGCTCTTGTTGAAGGCGAAACTATCTGTTTACCGTCAAAAGCAGGAAAAGGCTGAGCTAAAGAAAATTAAAATGTCTTAAACGATATTTGTGTGACAAAAGCCATAAGATTCTGTCATTTACTTGGACAATTCGTCGCTCATTGCTAAAAATGTGATGAAAAAAACAGGTAGCCTTTTTTGTCAAGATCAAGTGGGTATTGTCAGAGTGCCTTTGGGAAGATATCCGATCGAAGAAACATGCAATTTTCATTGCAGATCTTGGTTTTATTCAGACGGACTGGAAGGACCCTCCATGAGTAAAGAGAGCTCTCTGAAGACTCCATGAATAATCAGTCAGGCCTAGACGACTTTTATCCTCTCTCAGAATGCCCAGCAGAAGAAGAAATGAACAACTCGCAGAAGCTATTCGTTCAGGAAAAACTAAATTTGATTGCCACAGTCATTTCTTTATTCAGCAACATTGTCGTTATCTGGACCATGCGAAAGAATCCACGAATGCGAAATTTAATACACCAATTGATCGTCAACATGGTTATGGCAGATATCCTCATTACAGTCTTTCCCATGCCTTACAAACTGTAGGCTCAAATAACAGGCAGCGACGCGGTAATGTTTGGTGGATTGCCAGGAATGGTTATCTGCAAACTGGTGGGTTACAGTCAAAATGTTTCCATCGATTGCTCTGTCCTGACCTTGACGGCAATTTCCATGGAAAGGTTTACGGTGGTCATGTGTCCTTTCAAGAGAGCCACTTTGAACCATAAAGCACGATATACTGTCATCCCTATTTGGATCATTTCCATTGTGATGTGTTCGCCTCTTCTTTACGTAAACCAGTTACTGGAATACGAAGGGAAGTTTTTCTGCCACGAAGAATGGACTCCGTTGTTGATTTCAGAAATATACTCCCCCAGCCGGAGTTACACCGTCACACATTTTGCATTGAATTATGTTTTACCTCTCATCTTCATAACAGTTCTGTACTCCTGTATAACGTCATGCTCGACCTTACTCGGCCGCTAGAAAGAAACTTGTGAGGATGCTAAGAGTTATCGTATGTCTCTTTGGCTTCCTTATCACGTTGTATTTCTACTTCTGTTTTACAGCAAGAAATACCTAGCACGCCCCATTCCAGAAACCGTGATTTTCTATTGCCTTTTTGTCGGACACACTAGCAGCGCCGTAAACCCTTGTATTTATTTTGCCATTCAGCAGGTTATACGCTCCATCTGCCGTGGGAGATCTTCACCCTTGTTAGGATGTATTATTCTACACAGATCATCATTCAACCTGCAGGTTAATTCTGGTCTTGTAGATCAGACAGAAAGTCCTTCAAATGTAGAAATGACGTACAGAAATCAATTTCTAGAGTTTGGCACCACAACTCAAGTTGTCATAAGAAATGTAAGCCGCATATATTATGAAAACGTATTGTAAACATCTGATCTTCATGATATTCACAACTCGGTCAATCACTTGTTCCCAGTTTTCACCCGTTTCTCCACACACTGCATTCTCGTTATTTCAGGCTACATGAAATGTTTTGTGTAGGACTGAGGATTTTCATTTTTCGGGATCTTGATATCCATGAATTATTTTCGATATATGATTCGAGTGGCACTGTAAGCCGAAGTGTCAAAAAAGGGAACGAGTTTCTGTTCATCTGTTCGTAACGATGGGCAACAAAAGCTCGTTCTAAGCACGTTTGCTTAGGCAGTGGTACAAAGCTTTCAAATGGCATCTTTTGGAAAAGGTTAACCAATTATGAATTCAATTCGGTCATGGTACCATCACAGCAATATTTCTGTACTTCGGCTATCGATTTCTTCTCTTTTCTAACCTTCCCCGTTAGAATCATGAACAGGAGTACCCAAATTATTAAGGTTAGGAATTCTACTCAGAAAATATTTTAATAATTTTAAAGGGACGACTGGTAACAACTGTATTTTTCTCCTGTGCCATGTAAAGCTTTGTAAGACAGATTGTTTATCAGAAAGTCAGGAGGTTCTCCAGGAGAGATCTGTTCAGAAGAGAGTTCGTAAAGAATAGTTAAACGCTAAAAGCTAAGTAGCGTTTAATGGCATTGAATCCGAATGACCAGCAGAAAATATACCGGTATGTGAGTCTCTCAAAAGTTTCTAAAAAGTTGCCAGTCGGCAAACTCATTAAACTTGTCGAATCCATTGGATTTTGCTTTGCAGAGTGTATTTCATCCTAAAGCATATATTAACATGGTTTCTAAGGAGAATTCTACCAGATAATCAAGAGGTCAAAAATGCTATTTGGCTGGATGACAAATCTTTTGTGCATGGCGAGAACGCAAAAGACTCAAATCATACTTCAAACGATGTTATAATGAGTATTCTAGCTCATGCTAAGCGACAATAACGTCTTCACGGTTGCTGTTACCTCAGATAGAAATTGACCAATGGAAGACCGGTCAGAGTTTTAATCGTAGCAGGAAGATAATGAAACAAAACGTAAATTTTTGGTTTTTTTTTTCAATTTACGCTTTGCCTTTACTTTCTATTAAAAGTGTTCCCGTGTGTGAAAAGACGTTTACATTCTCTTTTGATACACAATCTGCATTACAATTTGATGAACTCATAACAATTATGACTGTCCATTATAAAAGCGCTTCCCTTCCTTTGTGTCACCGCAATATATACATCAAAACTTAAGACCACAAAAGCGACCTAGATCCCGTCATTCCCGGCCCCAAGGGATCTTTTGCAAACAGCTTGATAAACTTTCAGGATATACTTCCCGTGTACAGATATTTTAGTTTAGAAATTAGCGAAGAAATTCATAGTTTGTTCTCTCGGAAAAATGCGTCCACGAGCCCATCATTTCCGTTCATACCGCATTTAAACCCTGCCAGTTTACAAGCAAAAGTCAACGTATCATTCAGTGAAGATCCTTGCATGAGGCTCCAAATGGCACCGGCAACAAATGTGTCCCCGGCTCCAAGGGTATCAGTAACTTTCTCAGGTGGGAAGGCATCGCTGTGGGTTTCCATATTTTCCGGCCCGATTCCATCTGCACCTTTTATTCCCCAGGGACATATAACTGTGGCACCTTTCTTACATTTCGTATGTAGCGATTTAACGGTCTCAGAAGGCGAGGAAAAACCCATGAATTGGCCAAAATCTTTGCTTACGAAAACGACATCAGCTTTATCAAGCAACAATAAAAGACTGTTTCTTGGTTTTTCCAACTCTACGGAAACAATGATTTTGTTCTTTGGCAGTTGAGCGGAATTATAATCTTCAACAGCGGAGATCATCTTCACAATCTCGTCTTCATTCCTTCTGCCTTCAAAGTGAATCCAGTCGTAGTCCGACAAGTCGAGTTTTTCAAAGGTGTCGTTTGTTAACTCTGGAAGATTATTTCTTGAATGGACGACCGTTCTGCTGCCAGTTGTCAAGCTGAGCGTTACAAACGAAGTTGGAGTTCCACAGCCTCTATGGCGAACACAATTATCATATCGTACCCCTCTCTCGAGCAAATGTTTGCAAACAAAGTCAGCCTCCCCGCCATGTGACATTGAACCAAGAAACTCGCACTCCATTCCCAACTTAGCTAATATCGAGGCATTCGTACAAGCATTGCCTCCCGTTTGCCATCTCTGTGAAATTGCTCTGAGATCTTCGTCCTCTTCCGGATAACGTTCACATGTGTTCACAATATCAAGGGCGATTAAACCCACACAAAGGATTCGTCGACGACCCATAACGGTTTAGTCTATATTGTTGAAACTCTCAGGGCAAGATGGTATTCATAGGTATTGTGCCACGGATAAAAAAAAGTAGCGAGTATATGATTCGAGTGGCACTGTAGGCCGAAGTGTCAAGGAAGGAAACGTGTTTCTGTTCACCTGTTCGTAACGATGGGCAACAAAAGCTCGTTCTAAGCAATTTTTCAATTTGATACTCCAGCACGTTTGTTTAGGCAGTGGCACAAAAAGCTTTCGAATGGCATCTTTGAGAACAATTAATAAACACGGGGTTAGCATGGATGGCAACGAATCTTCTGGGCGCGATCAAAATTGACATTGATATTGTTGACATGGCGGAACACCAGACGCGATCCAAACGAAAAACGTTGAACTTTCCTTTTTACGGGGTGCGAGCTTAATATGAATGGAAATGATATTCCTGTGGCTAGATTTTTTCGCTTCAGAACGACATAAATTCAGGCAGTAGTAGAGCCAATGGACAATGTGTGAGAAGAGAAAACTATCATGTGCCAATTTACTTCGATTATCGCTGATAAAAAAGTTCGAAATATTGTTCCTGGAAATATAAATGTTGGAACGAGCTATCGCAGGGAAGCTCCAAAACCTCGTCGATTCATCGTTATGATATGTGGAAGCGTGCGATGTAACTGCGACCTCTCAAAAGAACGAAGTGCGATATTCGTTTGCAATACTTTTGCATAGTATTACATATCAGCGTTGTTTCAGTTCGTCCACTTGTACCTGTTGCGATAAGCGACTGTAACTGTTATTTATCAATAAAGGGCAAAATTACTGAGCGCTGATTGGTTGAGAGAGAGGGCATTTTTTTCTTAATCGAGGGCATTTTTAGTAATCAAGAGAGGGCATGATTACCTGTTAATGATTGGCTAATCCGTTGCATTGCTAATCCGTTGCTTCCCAGATAAAAATAGACTGCGCGCGTGATTTTCCTTCGTATAAATTTTGCCCTTTATTGATAAACAAGTAATCCCATGAGACCTCGTACTATTAAGGATTAATTGCACTTGAGTTTTCAAAATTTTCCAAATTGCCCTCGTCGCTTCGCGACTCGGGCAATTTTGGAAAATTTTGAAAACTCTCGTGCAATTAATCCTTAATAGTACTTGGCCTCATGTGATTACCTATACTAATCGCTGAGATTATTTCTTTAACTAGCGTCTAACTACAACTGCCACTTGTTGTACATGGTAATTTAGTATTATAAACTGAGTTGATAACGTGAATTGGTCACCGTAAAGATTTCCAAAGCCCACATTTCGAGCGTTAGCCTTCCGTCAGAGTATTCTGTTATATTCTGGTTTTTGGCTGGTACGCACAGGCGTTGTGATCAGTTTTGAAAATCCGTCAATCCTGAATGAATAATAACAAATTTTTTAGGCAAGAGGCCATCTGTTTTTGGCCTGCTTGTTCTCTTGGTTTTATGTTAGCGTTTTTGATGTCATTTTTAGTGGATAATTACGAGGTACATGAGGTATAATTCCTGAGGTAGATGGTATTATAAATATTTCTAACATAAGCCGCAAGTAGGCCTAGAACATACGGTCTCGAGATTGATATAATAGTTTCACCCGAATTATGAGATAATTGTTTTCTTTCAGCACAAGAAGAGTTAGGGTCGGGGAGATGTTAGGGACTGGAGTCGAATTAATGGTATGTTGATATTTAATTTTGGTTGACGAGTGTTATACAATTATAATAACGGTCATTGTGGCTCAGTTTAAATCGAAAGGCATTAAACGAAATAGATGAATACTCCTCAAGAAACTGATAGAAGCAAATCAATAGTATTTAAATTTTAAATTTTTTCTTCTAAACTGTACTTAAATCATCCATTCATCATGAATGATAAACAGCAGCTCTCTACAAGAGAGTTAAGTTAACTCTTAAAGGATCCATGATTATTCTCTCACCAACCATCTGTTCCGCGCTATTTAAAGCAGATATCTTTTATCGAAATTAGATGGACGCGGCTCATAGTTTTATTCCTAATTCCTAAAGATATATCTCAGTATAAGTGTGGCCTCTTCATCCCTTACGGTAAGAGGCTGCGCTGATTTTGTAGCACTATGATGTAGATTGCGATCAGAGGAGTTCTATTTTTGACCATTAATTTAAAATTTGCAGTTGCCTTTATCCTACCCTAACATGATTTTTTGTCGATGAGGTTCTCTGCCCCAGCTATTTTAACGGGCACGTTCCTTCTGCATTCAAAATCAAAGATGTACTAAAATCGTTTAGTTTTTTTATTATGCTCTTGTAAACAATATAAAACTGATATGAAGTTTGGTCCCAATTCTTTAACTTATCGGTTATTTGATGTGCCAGAGTATTATTTTCATAACATGAAAAAAATGAATGAATGAAATATATACTGCATTGATTTCGACTGCTTTTATTCAAATGATGTTTACTTTTGTATTTTTCATAATTCAATGCTCTGTAGGTAAGTTAAATTAAAAGTTCCTGCTAAGCTCTTACTTAACTAGTAGAGAAGCCTTGACTATGCTCTGTTCTGTTGTAAAGCACGCAGGAAGCGGCTAGAATACGAAAGAAGTGTAGGGGGGAAACACGAGACGTAGTCGAGTGTTTCTCCCTACTCCTTAAGTGCTCTAGCCGCTTCCCAAGTGCTTTAAAACAGAACAGAGCTCAGTCAAGGCTTCTCTATTTGTTTTATAATAAGAATCCGTTAAATTCCCCAAGCATTACTTTCAATTTTCAAAACAAACTTTATTTCCAAAGCGAACAACAGTGTCATCAGCATGCTCTATACTCTCATAAAGCACGCTGCAATAAGCCGATCAGAATCCCTGTTAGAATGGTTCAAATAATCTGATTGGCTGTACAAGACTAAAGCTGTCAAAAATGTCAAACCATCAAAGTTCATATTCTTACAAACTAAAATAGTTCGGCATGTTGAATTTAACACTTTCGCTTGAAGTTTTTTTTTTTAGTTTCTAATACAGAATCTGAAAGTGAAATGTTCAGTGAAATTCGGCCCAATCGTGGCTCACTAAAATACGCAAGTTATTTCACATGACAAGTAGAAAACAAACTGTTCAAGGCGAGTGTATTATGAATGAACAACAGCCGAATTCACTAGGGCATGAAGATCTCTCGGAATGACAGTGCCGTAAAACTCGGCTGCAGTGACTGATGTGGCCTTCCACTCAACACATCGGAAAGGTAATCTGAGCAAGCTCTTATCTTTCCACTCGAAGGGTAGTCGACTTAGTTCCTGAGGCTTGCTCCACTCCAGATCGCCATGATGGGCTAGCCGCAATAGACCTCAGCATGATCACTGTCGCTCTGACACCGTCATGATCAGTATGAATTTTAGTAGTTATACCAAGTTATATTTTTCATCATTCCTGTTTTTTTCTGTGTTGTTTTTGAAAACGAAACTTTATATAATATACAAGTGTTAGCTGTGTTTGATTTTTATTACCGTACGTAAACTTGCAATCTAACTGAGCGTGAAAACCGTTAAAACTCGGACTGTCTATTTGGTTTTATCTTTGAGGATTTTTGTCTCTGCTCACGTTACAGTAACGTAAATTACTGCGCCTGACATGTTTGCAAACCTTCGCTCGCTTGTTCCGAAATTTCACTTTCAATTAACGAAAGAAAAGCTAGAAAGAAGTTTCGGAAAAGGTCGGACATAGTACAATTTGGCAAATGGCGCGACAGCTTTAGCTCAGTTCTATGTTCTATACTATCATAGAGCACGCTCTTTCAACCAATGACACTACGTGTTATATCCGAGCTTTATTATAAATTGTTTTAGAGGACTATCAAGGCTACATCTTCTTTGAATCAAGAAAGACCAACAGGTAATTTTATTTGAGAGCTTAATAAGTGTCTAAAGAACTTAGAATTCGGAATTTCACCACGCTCGTGCAGATAAGTTTTCCTCTCTGCACAACAGTGAGTTTTATTCCTACTTATGTTATACAGAAATATCTCAGCATAAGTAAAGTGTTTGCACCACAGTGGGAAATGTTGGATTCTGTAGTTCTAGACTATTCTGTTTTGGTTCAGCCAAAAATTACTTAAACGAAATATAAGACGTGCTTAAAAAGTATATTTTCTGATCATGCACATGTAAAAAATAAAGTTGAAAATAAATTTCGTTTCAGTATCATGAAGGTGACTCTATTACTGTTACTTTTTTTTTTTTTTTTGTGGCATGGCATTATACATTTATAACATAACAAAAACAAATAAAACATAACCTGCATATATTTTAACTGAATTTATTCACGAGAAAACTATTTTCAATGTTTTTTCGTTTCAAAGATCATCATAAGGTAACATGTTTGTAGTGTCAATCATTTTTACACTTAAAACGTTAAAAACCCATTGTTGTTTCAAAAGGTCCATTAGTTGAGCCACAGGTGAACAAACTTTATCCCCAGGCTACCACGTTGATCGATGGCATTTTGACAAAAGAAGTGAGTTCCTCCTCGTTTATCAACCCACTGGCATTTCATTTTATCGTGATTATCTCCGCGCACGGGTGAAGTATCTTTAAAGAGATACCTTTTTTCATTAATCGCAGGTAAGACGTTTACTGTGTATTTACACAAAAGGAAATAGAAGGACGTTACTTTCTCTTGATTTACTTGAAAAGTAATCTACTTATGCTTTACAATGTATTTACGCCAGAGACAGTAATGTAATAATATATTCTCTTGAACTCAGTCATCATTATAGATTAAAAGAGTTTTAAAGAGAGGAACTTTTTCGTAAGGTTATCTGTATACCATGAAGCTCGTGACAAATGTTGTATTGCTGAGGGCTGACAATTATCCTAAGATGTAACCAAATCCTGAGTCCACCTTTTACTTTCAAGGAAGACTGTTAGGCTGCGTCGCCAACTCGGCAGGTGGAAAAAATAAAGATCTAGAACCCACCTTGAGGAGCTTAATTTTAAAAGCTGAAGCTCTTTAGCGAATGTTAGCCCTGCGTTGAAA